TGAGCCTATGGCCCGGGACATGGTGGGCGAATCGAGCTTGTGAGCCGGCACTGTCAGGTAGTTGTTCATCTGGAATTGGATGGCAGCATGAGGGACTGTCTCTATGGGAGTGGCCGGGAGAAATGGGGAAGGGGAGGCAGGGAATTGACCCCAGGCCGCGGGGATGAGCGAGAAGCAGCAGCGGGACGCAGAGGACACGTGCACGCATCCTCCCAGCCGTGCTGCAAGGACTTGCTCGGAGCCCGGGGCGATCAGAGGACCCCCAAGGCTCGGGGTCACCCACTGTCATCTGAACCTCAGCCCCCTCCCCATGCAGGAGACCGATGTCCTTCCCAGGCTGGGAAGCCCCCCTCGGCCCCCCCTCCTCCCCAGCGTCCCTGCTCCAGCGTCCCCTTGACACCTTCTGTTCCAGCTGCCGGGCCTTCTGCCTCCGCAGGAGCATCTGGTTCCAGGCTTCCTCGTAGGGGTCGGCCACAAGCGTGTGCCGGTTGTAGGATCGCAACTGGGAAAAGGCCCCAAGAAAAGGAGACGGGTTAAAAAAAAAAACCCACACAGAAAGGCAAAGGAAGGTCACGGCACCCTTTCTCTTGGAGACGGATGAAACAGTCACCAGTGGGCAGAGCACGTCCAGGCAAGCCGGTGCCTCATCCCTTGCGTGCTACCATGGGATGCCTGATCTTGACTCACCTTGGCCCAGCAAGGGTTTCAACGCCGGGCTCAGCCACCGACCGAGCCAGCCTCCCCCTCAGCGCTATCCCAGCACCACCCCAGGAGGAAAAGCCTCCCGGGGAGGGAGAGCCGGACCAGGAACACAAGGGGCAGCCTGGCAGGGACACCGGGGGTGAAGGGCCCAGCTGGCCCTGAGGGCTTCTGGTTGGAAGTGGTCCTGGCCACCCCCAGGGAAGCAAAGGGGGCAACGCACGGTGCCAGGGGACACCTTACCCTCTGCCTGGTTTTCTGCAGGTTGTTGCGAAGGATTTTCCGGATCTCCTCCTCCTTGTCCTTGGACAGGGCCGGAAGGATGCGCTCCACGGGGAGGGTCTTGGGGTTGATGTTCCTGAGGGGACAGACAGGATTCAGAGCGACACTGCGACGGCCACGGCAGGACCGAACGGCTGCTTGCCCTGCGGCCACTAGCGGGGCCTACGCCAGGGGCCTGTCGGAGGCACAGGGTGGCCACGGCCGGGGAACTCACTGGATGGAGACGGTGGAAACAGCGGAGGGGATCTTGCCTATGCCCCCACTCTCCACCAGCTCGATTGCCTGCTTCATCTCCATCTTGTGATAGAAAGCGATGAGCTGGGGCTCCTTGGACCGCTCCCCCGCAATCAGGCACTTCTTCACATACTTCTTGTTGAAGCGATTCAGCCTTCCCGAGGACGTGGGGAAAGGAGGAGCAGCGATGTTTCAGACCTCCCACTGGCCCGGAACCCACTCCCAGCTCCCCATCCCCAGCCCAGGCCAGCAGAAGATGGTTCAGTTCCCACCAGCGCAGGTCAGGCCAGAACTTCCCCGACTCCCTCCCGAGCCAGGCAGCCTCCGAAACACCCAGCAGCTGCTTGCACCCCCAACGGATGGTCCTGAGCTCCTGCCGGGCCCCGCCACCGGCAGCGCCCCCCCCCCTCGGGGCGTTGCACCCCCAACGGATGGTCCTGAGCTCCTGCAGGGCCCAGCCACAGGCAGCTCCCACACTGCTGTGGGCACGCCGTGGGTGGCGTGGTGAAGGGGTGCGGCCCTGCAGCCCCCCTCGCACCCAAGCCAGGACCGTAATTCATCGAGGGGAGCGTGTGTGTGTGGATATTACAGCCCGGGGAAAAAATCCAGCACAGGGCTGGAAAACCTGCCAGGTGACGATTCAAACCCTTCCCCATCTCCCCCACAGGTCCCCCGAGTCACCAAACCTTCACACTCACTTGTCCTTCCAGTGGTGATGCCCGTAGTGACCACAGATATCCTCGATCCCCGTCAGAAGGTGATCCAAGAACTGGAAGAGAAGGTCCAAGGCGTAGGCAGCTCACAGGGCTGACGCCCACCCTCTGCCCACCCCGACGCCCCCGCCGACACAGGGGTGAGGGCGTTCAGGGGGTGCAAAATCAGGGCTGTGGGTCCAGGATGGGCCTCAGGAGGGCAGCACGGTCCTACGCAACCGGGCCGCTGCTCTACCGGGCACAGGGGAGGTCTGGGTCGGAGCGGGCACTGGGCGACACAGATGGGGGAGAGCCCTCGCTCCGTCCCCCCTTACCTTGGGCACTGATTTAAGGGCAGCTCCCGCTCTGTAAACCCGCCCGGTTACAGCGGTGGAGGTGGCAGAAGCAGAGAGAGAAGAGGGCTAAGGCGGCGAAGAGAAGCGCGCGGGAAGGGCCATCCGGGCGCAGCGGGTTACCTGCGTGTGGATCTCTTCGTTGATGGAGCGTTTTGTCTCTTGCTTCTTCTTCACGGCCAGCAGGTCCACCAAGGGCCGGATGGTCATGCCCTAGGGAATGGGGGAATGGGGAGGGTGGATCAGACCTCTCCCCGAGGCACACCGGTGGGAGCGGGACGGGTTCAGCACAGCCGAACCACGGGGCTCCGCACCGCCGGTGTCACTTGGCAGCCTCAAGAGCTTTTGGAGAAGGGGGACAGTGACAGGGTCAGGGATGGAGGCTGGGGACGTGCTCCTCACTCTCCACACGCACGAGGCTCACTGAATAACCCCCCTTCCCTCTGAAACGGCACTGTGAGCACCGGCGTGCCACCAACCTGCACAAAGACTGTGAAGAAGATGACCGTGATGATGGCTGTGAGGAACATGTCCCTCATGCCAAAATGCTTATAGTCCAGGAGATAACAGAGGGAGAAGGCGATGGCTCCCCGCAGGCCCCCGTAGGCGATGATGAACTGGTCCTTCGGCGTCAGCTTCACAATTCGGAACTTGTTGATGAACCAGGTGAGGACCAGGACACCTGGGGGAGCGAGGCAGGGCCTCATGTGAGCAGCCGGTGAAGGATGCCCTCCAGCCCTGAAGAAGACCCCCCCCAGGAGGCCGGCTTGCAGCCCAGCGCAGTGTCACGCCCTCGGGGCCATGGGTGCAGGTGGGTGCTGTCCTGCTCGCTCATCCCAACACCCCTCACCAGCTTCAACCCCACATCTAGCACAAACTTGGCCTCAACCCCATCTCCCCACAAAGCCAACCACCAGCAAGGCTGATGCCCACGGTGCAGCAGTGCCACCCAGTCAACTCCAGTCTCCCCAGCAAGGCAAACTTGGGCCTCGTGGCCCTGAGAGTTGCCCATCACTCATGACCGTCCCCAAGGACTTTGCCACCACACTGACACCTCACCCAAAACTCTTGCGATGAGGCAGAAGAGCAGCGTGCTGATGACAAAGGTCCAGTTCCAGTAGTGGTGGCCAGCCACGGTGGAGACGCCCAGGAAGATGAAGATGAGGGTCTCGCTCACGCTGCTCCACATCTTAAGGAAATACTTGATGGTGGTGTGGGATTTGTGGGAGATGTTGGCTTCCACATAGGGCCGCATGACCACGCCGGAGGCGATGAGCCTAAGGGCAAGGTTGGGGCACTCAGCAGCCATGGGGACATGGGGACAGCCCCAACCACTGGCCCTGCGGCAGCGTTTTGAGCTCTTACACCAAACCTCAGAGCAGGACGGGGCTTCTGAGATACGAGCAATTATTCAAGGCCTCCAGAGAAGGCAACATGAGGTTTCTCCTTCCCCCTGGCAGGGCAGGAGTGAGCACTGGAGCCAGGCAGCACAAGACATTGTCTTGAGTGCTCAGCAGGCCCTGCCTGCTACTGTGTGCCCAGGAGAAGGGGCAATGGGCTGCCAGCGCCCCGGGATCTGTGGGACAACTCAGTAGAGTCACTTCCCTCATCTGCCTCCCTGCATATCCCAGCCCAAACACACCTCTGGCCCTCACTGGGCATGTACTGGCCATGCCGGGACAGCCAGCGGGCTGCGGTTACACCAGAGTAAATTCCTCCACATGGTCCTGGGGACAGGAGGGCATCTCATCCCACCCTTGCCCAACTCACGCCATGATGCCGGAGAGGTGGAAGAGCTCAGCAGAGAGATACGCCATGTAGCTGTAGAGGAAGACGAAGAGGGGCTCGATGACTCGGATGTGAGAGGTGAAGCGGGACGTGAAGGCAGCGATCACCCCATAAATGACGCCGACGAAGACACCGCCCAGCGACACCACGAAGAAGCTGAGGAAGCCGAGGATGATATCGATAATGGTCACCTGCTCGAAGTTGGCAAACTCCTCGAAGAGGTGGTACAGGACCTGGGAGGGAGAAGGGAGAGGGGGGTTCAAACTGCCCCAGTGGCAAGAGATAGCCTCACCTCGGAGGAGACCTGCTCAGGGACCTTCCTTGGGAGAGCAGCAGCAAAGGGAGCTGGGCAGGTACCCAGCGCGGCACACCTGAGACGAGATGTGCCGGTGCTTGGTGACCCTGAGCTGGGTCCTGCGCTTGACCAAGCCTCACGCCAAAAAAAGCTGGTGGTGCTTTGCTGTGCAAGACACAGACCCGTAGAGACCAGCTCCCCGTCCTCTGTGGCTCGCAGGGACATGGTGCCATCGGAGATGTGCCTGGAACAGCTCTGCTCTCCAACACAGCCCCAACCGCTGTCCCAGGAGGGGCTTCAGTCAAGGTCTGAACCAGCCAGAGACTGTTCCTGCTTCCCAATGAGCAGGTCAGGACAGATCCAGGCTGGGGGACACCTGACAGCCGCATGGAAAGAAAAGCCAACATCTGCCCTGCTCAGCCCAGAGAACAGCCTAAACCCTTATGCCATTTTGTAGCCAAAAGGGCAACCTCGAAGAGGAGCCCACCCCAGGCTGCATCACCTTCTCCCACCTCCGGACACATTTACTGGGGAGATTTTAAAGCAGAAGCCGACGCAGCCGTGTCAGGATGGGAAATGGGCTTCATGGCATCCTGCAGGGATGGCAGCGCTTGCAAGCGGAGAGAGGGCGAGGTGCCAGCTCCTGCCTGCCAGGGCCGGGTCCTGGGACACGGGCAGGGACAGACGTGACAGCAGAAGGCAAAAGCGTTCCCCAAGGATGGGAGCGGGGACACAGACCCTGCAGGGAGCCCCTCTGGCCAAGAGTGGGGGAGAAGCACCTGGGAAAAGCCCTGTGGTGGGACTGTACGTTCCTCATCAGCCTTTGCAGCGTGCTGAGCAGCCAGCTCTGAAGTGGACAGCTGGGATATGGGAGAAGAGCCAGGAAAAAGCAGTGGGTTAGAAGTAAATTTAGAGGTCAGCTCTGTAGAGGAGGATACTGCGCTGACGGCCAAGCCGGCACCTGGACACAGACGTCCTTTGGAAATGGCATGGCCCCAGAGAGGGGTGGCCTGGCCCCCGAACTTCCCAAAGGTCCCTGCAAAGCTGCTGCTCAAAAGATTGGGGCCGAGGGGTGACCCAGGCAGATGCCAGCGTGGCTGCAGCCCCCACGGCTCTCCCCTTGCCACGGCTGGCCATGTCCTGTCCTCACGCCTCCTTGGTGCTACAGCTGGGGGACAGCAAGGAAGACCACATCAGGGACCATGAGGAAGGAGACAGGAGGTACACGGCAGCGCTGCCTGACCCGGCGCCAGCCCCTCCGTGCTCCTGCTCACCTCCCCTGGGGGGACAGGCATGAGCACGGCAGCGGGCAGCAATTTCACCCGGGAGAGCAGATTCCCGGGAGATCAAGGTGCCGGGCACAGTCCCGCTCTTCAACAAGACGTGGTAGCTGGCTGGCGATATGTTCTCGGCCTCCCCAAACCGCCAAGTAAAACGCTTCACCTTAACCCACCTCTGCGGTGTTTTAAGCCGCTATATTTAGCTTTGCACCTACAAAAGGTTAGGAGCAAGCGGAGCTGCCGCAGCTCAGCTGGCAGGAGGCACCCGGCAGCGTGCAATGGCCCAGTCTACGGTTCAGCCCGCAGGGCTTGACTGACAGCTGCCCGTCCCGGCGCCACCACCCACAGATGCTCCACCAAAGCGAACCCCATCCCCTTGGGTGATCCCCCTCATCCACTTACGACCGTGACGGCGTCGTTCAGGAGGGACTCCCCGAAGACCAAGATGTGGAGCAGCTCGTTGATGTGGATCTCCTCAAAGACGGCCAGCACGGCCACCGGGTCCACGGCCGAGATGATGCTGCCGAAGAGCAGGTTGGCCAGGAGGCCGATGTGGTTCAGGCCGGGGCCGCCGAGCTGGCACACGGCGTACATCAGGCCACCCAAGAAGAAGGCGTTCCAGAGCGTCCCCACCACGGCGAAGATGAGGATGGTGCCCAGGTTCTCGGTGAATTGACGCAAAGGGAGGAAATAGCCGGCATCCAAGATGATGGGTGGGAGGAGGAAGAGGAAGAAGATGTCCGACTTGAGGATGGGGGGCTTTTCACCCACCCCTTTGATGAGCCCCCCAACCAAAAGGCCCACCACGATGAGCAGGCAGCTCTCGGGAACGATGCTGGACACCGAGGGGATCACGTGGAATCCTGGAGAGGAGGAGGAGAGAGCAAGATACATGTTGGCTACGCAACTGGAGGATGCTCTCTGCAGGAGGACACCCCTGCAGGAGTTGGGGACCAGTTCCCAGCCCTCCCTGCACTCTTCAGGATCCTTTACTCGTTGTGTGCCTCAGTTTCCCCTTCTAACCTCCTTCTTCCCCACACTCCCAAGCTGTAAAGTGGAAAGTGCAGCTTCGCCAGGCCCACATACCCTGGCATCGCTTGATCTCAGGCCAGAAAATAACAGCGAGTTCCAGTTCAACGGGTGGCAGCCGCCCTCTGGGCACCCCGGGGGTCTCTGAGGGGACCCCCAGACCCCCGCGACAGCCATCTGCAGCACAGGCAGTTCTCACAACACAAGCTGTCGCTGGCTCCAGCTCTTCCCGTGGCAGCTGCTAATCCTGGGCGCATGTAGGCACTGGCATTTACCTCCCGTCAGACGGCAGCCTGCCCACCGAGCGCCGTTACACCCAGCGTGCCAGGCTCTCTGGCAGGAGGCAGCAGCGCAGCGCCCGTCCCCGGGTGTCCCTGACGCAGGGGACAGGGAGGGGAGCTGGCGCTCAGCGGGTTTGAGGGTGCGATTGGAGCGGCTCCTTATCCCCCTCCTGCAGCCTCAGGAACAAGCTGGGAGGTTTTATAAGGCCGGTTGCAGCAACGCCTGCCTTCCCTGCAGGCAGGGCTGCTCCCAGGCACGGAGCAGGGACGGGACATATCCCCCCCGGTGCAGGGCTACTCCTTGGGGTGCAAGGTAAGAGGGAACTTGTTTTCCCCTTTTCAATCACAGCACGACCCCAAATGCAGGTCTCCGAGCCGGCCATGACCCGCTGGGATGACGTCCACCAAACGCCCCGCAGCCCCGGCAAGGCGGGCAGCTGCCTGCGGGGTCGGGCAGGCAGCACGACGCCAACCGAAGCAGCGCTTCAGCCAACGCACCGATACCCACAGAAGGATTTTGGGTTCCCTGGATCCTCTCCCAGGCTTTATAATTATTACTTTGAAGTGAGGCACATTTGTTCTCTGGCAAGGGAAGCGGTTTAAAATAAGGAGCCCTGCCTTGGCATCTCATGTTCCTCCATTCCTTCCGGCCGGGCGGCTGTGCCATCTGCACATCGTTTC